CAAAAGCTCTGTGTATTCAGGAATCAAAGTTGTGTTACCTCTCCATAGGTGGTATTTGTGAGCTTTTATAGGTTCCGTGTGGCATAGTCCTAATAGGACTTCTACTCCTCCATGCAGAGTCCTCCTAGGATTCATACTCCTGAAAGATAATGCTTATCCTTCAACACCCTCCTCACTGCTTAAACCAAGTGAGATGGTTTTACCATGGTCAGACTTCTATGGGGACCGAAATACCATTGCCTTACTAGATATGCAGGTATGACAGATCTAACTTTCAGTCCGGCTCTTCTTTTCCTTGCTTCTACCTCGGCTTTGCATGCCCAGACCGAGCTATCCATAGAAGTGTCAAACCGAACTAACACCGAAGTATCCTGAAGAAGGCTTGTCATACTTCGGTTTAGAAGACACGACCAGGCTAACCGTAATATGCTGCGACCGGACTAACTCTGAGGGTGGTGACCTAGCGACCGAACTGCCGCGCTCTCCCGAACCGAGATAACAATGCACTTCTGGGACCGGTCTTAAATTTAAGTCCTGCTTGGACCGGACTGGATTTGAGGCCTTTTTACTCAGCCCTTCGTACTGTGGCCCATAACGGCCCATTGTCCAGCTCGGCCCAATATTCATATAAATTACCCTCTCAGTGATAATGTAAATAAATGTTTTAAGTCTAAAACACTATTATCCTTACAGTAATCTTGATTATTGCAAGAAAGATATTGCAGAGAATTTTATTTCGTATTTTTCCATGATGTTTTTTTGCAAGACTTCAGTGACTTTGTTTGTGGGTCGCTTTATTTGGTGAGAGTATTAAATTATGCTGTAAAAGATTGCACATGTTCTTCTTTAATATTGTTTGTGGGTAGCGTCATTTGGTGAGAGTATTAAATTATGCTGAAAAAGATTGCAAATGTTCTTCTTTAATAATGGCCTTGTTTGGTTTGTCTCTTGAGAGACAATTTTTGATTAAAAAAAAAATTAAAAAATTGATTTGGTTGAAATTTTTGAGAAAAAAATTCAAAATTATTTTTCTCTTTACTATACATCAATCAATCACTTTTTCTCTCTCTTCTCTCTTTTTCTCACATTCTACATATTAATCAATCACTTTTTCTCTCACACTCATCTATTCAACTACCAAAAATAAAAATAAATTAAATAAATAAATCATCCCAAACTCTAAAATTCCAAAATTATTTTCAAAATATACAACCAAACAAAATTTTAAACTTTGTAAACTCTTTTCAAAAATTATTTTTCAAAATTGTTTCATCAATACAAACCAATTAGTCTGGTTAATGTGCACCCTTAAAGTAAATATTGAAAGAACTTTAAAATATTGTATCTTATTTATTGAACTCATTTTCATACACAATGTGCAATACTTTTAAATTTCTTAACATATACCTTAAAGACACACACATTAATAAAATGGGTAAATTACACTTACACCCTCTGAGGTTTGAGTTTAATACATATCACACACTGACATTTGGAAAATTACACTAATCCCCTATCATTGTAATTATTAGATAGAATGAAGATATTGAACTCATGCACTCTCTCTTTTCTTAATTTGCTTTACTTCCTTTGTTTTGTTTTATTTCCCCCCTCCCCCTTTTCCTTTGGTTTACTTTTTCTTTTCTTTTTTCAATGTAATTTTTTCTATTTTTCTATTAAGAGTTGTTACCTTTATATAAACAGGAGGTTTGTGAAATGAGATTATTAACTAAAAGGGTGAGAATGTAATTTCCAAAACGTCAGGGGTGAGATGTAATTGGACCAAAACTCAGAGGGTGTCAATGTAATTTACCCTAATAAAATCCACATTATATTTAATATTATATATATAAATTGTTTTTTTTTTTCATTTTAAGAACCATAAATATAATTTTATAAGTAAATAAATAAGTATATGTTATTATATTAAAATTATATAAAATGAAGTAGATTTTACGATTCACGATTTGAAAATAAGACTTATTAATGGATTACATTATCCTAACTAATTGTCAGAGATAAATAGAATATGACAAAACCAACTTGGGTGGGTGATGGGAGATTTCTACGGAATTTGACTGGAAATAAGTCATAATTATCTTATAAGACTAGCCTTATATTCAAGTGTATTAGATATATAATTAGTTTTTTTTATATCTTTTTTTATTTTAGACAAATTAATTATGTGTTTCATTGTTATACGATGGAAACATGGATCTGAGGTGCATGGTGTGCTTTGTGGCACATCATGCATGTGTTTGACATATCATGGAGATTTGTCTCAAGCCTATTTGATAGTTTAAATAATTCATATTATAAGGTTCGTCAAACATATCATCCTTGTAAAAAATCAAGTCCTAAATGTTTTAAAATAAATTATCAAAATTATATTAACCATTTATTTTTTGAAAAATAAATGTGTATGGTGCCAAATCAGCACCTAAGATAGCAAATCAATGATGAAAATAATGGTTTTTCAGCAACTTTAATTCAAAATTAAAGTGGGATCCAACCGCCAATTGAGGTGCGTCTAAGTGGTTTTGTATTATCTTAAGTGAAAAATGTTGCAATACAAAAATAATGAGGCGAAAACCATTAGGTTATAAATGAGAATTGCCTCATTAAGTGGGTATCAATAAAAGTTGGGCTTAGATTTGGACTGTCTTGGTTTGGACTGAGCCTAGACTTGTGCTTGTGCTTGTGCATATGCTGGGTTTGGTCTTGGATTTGGACTTGGACCAAGTCTTGAGCTTGGGTTGAATTGTGTTGTGTTGGGCTTAGCTTATGCATGTGTTTGAGATTGGGCTTGGAATGGGTTTTGACCCATACCCATATCCATTTTGCAACCCATCTAGTTTAATTATCAAATTTATGTATTATATACACATTATGATTTATATAATGCTATTGGAGTTTTGAACTTTTGTAACTCTAGCCCTAATGACTAGAGTTAATGACATTTGATGGCCTTGGTTAATGACAATTGATGTCATAGCCTTCATGGCTAAGAACTTCTCTGCAAGTATAAAAAAGGTCTTTCCCCTCCAACTTAGTAGGATGATTTTGGAGAGATATTGAGAAAAAAAAATGAGATGGTGTTTTGAAATAATAAAGATGGAAATGGTTTTTATATTAAAGAAAAATTTCTCTTCTTCTTTTGCTATCCCTTTCTTTAGTTTTTATTAAAGAGAGAGTACTACCATTGTCAAAGTTCGTTGAAGCTATTTAGAAGGTACTTTTGCTCTAACTGGTTTTGATCGTTGTATCTTGGGAGACAGACGCTGACATACCTCCAGCACCCCCTGGTGAGATAGTGAATCTGTTTTAAAAAACTATGTTTATCACAGATTTCGGTTTGCATTTCTTATCTTTTGTTTTTCAAAGTTTTAAATTTAAATTATTTCTCGTATATTATTTTATTTGTTCATGTGAATCTATCTTATAATATGTTGCATGATATAATATGTTCAAATTAATAGATTCACATTCCCAGCTTTACACTTACAATCTGACCCACTAACCTACAATTTTCAACTTACACCGATACCTACAATAAATTCACCATTTTTTCAATGATTCTCAGCATTAAAAAAGTAAATTTTCAGGACTAATATATTTATAAAAATCTCACTCAAAACTAATTGAGTAATAACTCTAACCAATACGATTGGCAAACAGGGTTGGAGTTATTACCCAATAATATAAGCTCTCTTTGTTTCAAGTACGGGTTAGATATCACAAATACAAGTTACTTTAAATATAGATGGGCATTTGTGGAGTGGATTATTATAAATGTCATAATTAAATTTTTTTTAGTTATAATTATAAAAAAAAAATAGTGATAAATAAATATCAATAATTTTTTTTTTAAACTATAACCAAAATAATATCATAACCAATATAATAATATCTCAAACCAACACCACATTAATCATAATTAAATCAAAATTAAAAAAAAAAAATATTGTAACAAATATGGTAACTCATATATAATTTCCCTTTATACACACCACCGTCACAGTGGGCCATGGGCCCCAAATTTGTGGATTTATACTAAAGTCCCAATCTATAATATCATTTTGTTCCCAAATTTTTATGCGTTTTTTAATTTGACCCCTAAACTTTGATTAATACCAATTTTATACATAAATTTTTAATATTTTGATCAATTTAGCTCCTACTATCACATTTCGTCTATAATTTGGACCAAATGTGCTGAAGTGACACCTAAGTTCATTTGAAATTTTAGGTTGCGTTTGGTAGAGTTTTGTAAATATGATTTGTGAGTATGAGTTGTATTTTGAGTTTGTGAGTTTTGAAATTATGATTTGAGTGTGAAAAATTTGTTTGGTAAAAGAGGTTTGAAAATAGTTTTGAATTGAGTGAGGAATTTTTGAAGTGACATATGATATGTGATACAAAAACTTACAACTCATATTCAAACATACAACTCAAAATTCTATTAAAGTACATAAAAAAAATTTAAAAATTCGAAAAATATTTTTTTCGAATATATAAAAATTAACATATGTCAATTGTAAAAAAAAATAATAATAAAAAAATTGCATTGTTCCGGTCAACCGGCGGGACATCCGGTGAGACGACCGGTTCGGCCAAATTTGAAAAAAAAAAAAAATTGAAAATCGCGCCACAGACAGAATTTTGTGCAAAGTTTTGTAAAAGTTAGGAAAATGTGATTTGAGTGTGATATCCAAACATCATGTTGAAATATGGAGGTAGAAATATAGTTTGGAAATCATTCCAGACAGAGCCTTATTTTATCCCCAAATTATATCTCAAAAATCAATTTGTCCCCTAAGTCAGCCCATTCTATCCAATTGTATACGGAATGTGATGATAAGAGTCCAATTAATTAAAATTTTGAAAACTTAAATATAAAATTAATATTAATCGAAATTTAGAAATTAAATTAAAAAATACATGAAAATTTAGGTGGCGAAAACTTTCAAATATGTGAAGGGGCCTACTTTTGTCAACCAATTTAAGACCATTGGGCCTAAAACACAAAAAAACCACATGATATGAGTGAGTCTAGTTGCATTGCAGCAGCTGAGAGAGAAGAACAGCAGAGACCGGCGAGCGAGGAAGCAGAGCCGGTGAGTCCTCTCTCTCTCTCTCTCTCTCTCGTCACATACAAGGATAAACCCAATAATGGATAAACCAAACCAAACGAAGCCTTAAGTCCCATCAAATGGGGTCGGCAAACCCAATAATGGATACTTTTGAAAAATCTCTAATATCTATAATTTATTTTTGTTTTATGTGTACCCTAATTTAATTTGTTTTTGGGTTTTGGTCAAATGTGTTGTCCTAATTTCTTAGCTTTTCTATTGAATGTCCTAAATTTTGTGCCCTAACAGAATAATTTTTAATTTCTCTGTTTTAGTTTTTGAAAGAATCTAAAGCTAATGTAAATATGTTTCAATGTGTTTGCAAACAAATTCATTGGAGTTTTTTGTGGGTTTAATTTCTTCCTCTTTTTTTTTTGATAAATTAATTTCTGTTAATTATATAGTTATGTTTCCTGACTAGTATAGTTTTGGAATGAAAGAAAGAAAAAAATGGAAAAAATAAATTCAATTTCAATCAGGAGCTCTTGATAAGTTTGTTGGTGGTGGCAAGAAACTAATGGAGAATTCCAGTTCAGTTGATGAAGATCTGGTGATTGAACAACCTAATAGAATATGTGTGAATGAGAATGATAATGAAAATTTTGGTGAATGAATGATAATAAAGCAGGAAGACTAGATTTTTGTCTTTTTGAATTCTTGTAATGATTTCTTCCTATGTAAGTAAATTTTAATGATCGTACATACAAGTAGACTTTCTGTGAATACTAAATAATCAGTTTTTTGGTGGGCTAGGGTTGAGGCTTGGGCAGAACAAATTGAGGTTGCAAATTATTACCCTTTTGTTGGTAGGAGGTGGCGCTGTAGGTGGGGAAGGGGGTGTGCTCTCAAGGTGTTTGGATAAATGTCTAAGTGAGGCTGGGGCTGGACTGGGGTCGGTGCAGGAGGGGTTGGGGTTGGGGCATGTTTGTCCTTTTCATCCACATGGAATGGCTTGTTTATTTGTAGCTTGACTCGTGGATTGTTAGTGAATTTCACATGGTAGGAAAGGGAATTTTTTTTGACATGAACTTAGCATGGTAGTAGGAAAGAAGGTAAAAGATTTTTAGGTGTGGTTGGTTTGTGATACATGCAATTCGTTCCTGTAGTTGATGAGTGACACTAACACCAGTGCTGAACGTTTATTACTGATAATTAACTATTTTCATCAATATGAGATTTTTATCTGTTCTATGTTTCTCTCTCTCCCTCTCTCTCGTGATTTATATCCATTGAAAAGCATAGAGTGATGCTAATAAAACTTCAAGACAACTTAGATCTGATGTGCACATCAATTTGAAACATCCTTTATCGATCAAGTCCTGAAACTTTATGGTCTAACCAAGGTTCTGAAAAGCGGTTGCGGTCGCCGTAACGGTGGCGGTGGCGCGGTTGCGGTTGCGGGGTGTAAAGGCCGTAGTGTAACTGTTGCGGTAACCGGAACCGTGAATTTTTTTATTTTTTGCACAATTTGAAAAAAACTTACCGATACACATATTTTTTTCCCATGATCATATTTATTGGGTTAAAAATAAATATTGATCAATTTTTATAAATTTTTAAGTATGATTCAATATATTTCATATTTTTAAATCACTATAAACTGAGTTTTTTACATTTTATTTTAATAATAATGACTTTATATTTTACAAAAAATTAATCGCTAACTATTATATATAAGATAAATAATGACAAAAGTAAGAGAATAAATAAGAACCTAAATATATATATATATATACATATTTTAACCAAGCCAAATAGATAATGATCACACTTATTATTATTATTATTTTCAAACAATATATAGATAGACACACACAAACAAAATGGTTTAGTGATCGCAGCTGAATAGAATAGTATAGGTCTTATAGTTTCAACAAATCAATAACATGTTCATCTTCCCTCTTCTCTCTCTCTCTCTCTCTCTATCTCTTGCTCCTCTATTTTCTCTTTATCTTCCCTCTTCTCTCTATCCCTCTTCTCTCATTTTTAGCTATTTTTTTTTGTGTGTTTTTTCGAAAGAAACAGTTTGGAACCTTACGTAACGGTGCGTAACAGGCCGTTACGGCTGTTATGGCACTGTTACGACCGCTATGGCAGCCACTACGGCCGACACACTTGTGAATCTCAATCACACTGCAAAAGCGGCCGTAACGGGTGGCGGTAACCGCCAAAACCGTTACGTAACGCCGTTACGTAACGGTTGCGGCCGCTTTTTAAAACCTTGGGTCTAACAATTATTTGTAAAAGGGTATATAAATTTAAACTATTACTGACACTTGCAAACCAATTGAGGAAATTTCAATTTTTGTCACCCAAATTTTTTTATGTGATACTCAGCTCACCCAAAAATTGCTTCGTCTTTGTCTTTATCCTGCCCTCATTCTTCACCAGATATCACTTGTTATTGATACTTGTTAATACTCAAACAACAAACTGTTTTGGGTTATATATATATATATATATATCTTGTTTTACTGATTTATTTCTAAACAAGTAAAAAAGGAAGTTGCTGAATAGTTGGAGTGTGCTCATATGCATGACCTTCTTTCCAACTAAGAAATCATAATATCAATTTCTTCTGTCTTTGAATGCTGAATAGTTGGAGTGTGCTCACATGCCTGACCTTCTTTCGAACTAAGAAATCATAATATCAATTTCTTCTGTCTTTGAATACCAATCATAACGAAAGCTTTCTGATATAGTGACTAACATTTAATTCTACTTGGTGTTTACTCATTTTGAAACCTTTTGTTGAAGGGAATTAGTTAATGGGATTGACTTAAGCCTAAACATCACACTATAGCCAACCACAAGGAAAAAAAAAAAAAAAAGGAAAAAATGAGTCATGCAAATAAAATATTATATTATATTTTAATTAATCATGGGTGGTGTTAGCTTCTATATATAAAAATTATATTAAACTTTTCATTCTCAGCAGTTTCATGGACAAATGTTTTTCTAGAGCTGTTATTTCTTGTCAAAAGGTATGATGATAGCAGTTTATTAAGTTAGATTTACTCCAGATGATTTAAGCTCAAGTTCATAGTAATTTTGATCATAAATTACATCTTATGCCTTTGTTTGAAATTTTCAAAAGAATAAATAGGAAGTCATTAATTTGCAAGCTCTCAAATATGTCGGTGTAATTACTTAATGGGTCCAATAGTATATTAGTACTAGGAATTGCAAATAAACTTATATACAATTGACATACTTCACTTTTTGGTGTATTGTTATTAAATCTTTAACATTATTATCATATACAATTTGTCTCGTGAGGGACACCCAGCTTCTTTGGCTGCATTCTTCCAATAAAAATACTCAATTTTGAATCTATTTAAAAGGATGTTCATGAAAAAGATAGTAAGATACTTCAAAGGAAAAAAAGAAGAGCTTAGGGAGGAGGATTAAAGATTTAACACCCTGAGGATAAATATATAGGCTAATATAAACTCCACTACATGGTAATATAACACTAACTACATAAATTGTAAGAGAAACTCTGGATAAATTTTAAATATACATTTTATTTTATTTTTCTTTCAGAGCCTTTGTCATGGATTGATCAAATTCATTTTTATGATTGGAGACCTTTCTAAAGTTGTTGAAGATAGTGTTTTGTTTGTCTTGTGCAGAAACTCCTTAATCCTTATTAACTCATCAGATGGCATTGAGAGGTGTTTGGCAACTTCAGAAGCTAATTGTGAGCTATTGTGATTGGGGAGGAAGTAGCAGGGGTATCAGGTTAGCTTTCTTAGAATAATCATCTTGTTTCTTTTAGCAGTGAGCACATTGTAATTGGGGTACTTAATTTAACTGTAGCGATAACAAGATTACACTATTACTGTTTTTTCTGCACACACTTTTGGCACACACTTTTGGCAAAATGATGGGATCAAAACAAGTAAATTTTCACCTTGTTGCTGTACCCTTTTCCAAATTTGGTTCATGTTCTTTTGTTATTACTATTTTTTTTTTTTTTTTTTTTTGTTGGGGGGGGGGGGAACAACTCAAAATAATTTCACTTTCATAGAGGTCCAAGTGAGCTTGTGTCCATTGCAAGTGAGAACTGTGGCATGAGACAACTCTCACTTGCTTTGACTTGCACCTCCATAAAAATGCAATTACTTTTGAGTTGTTCCCACTTAAATGCAATTTCCTCTTGTATTTCCCCCTTTGAATCGATTCCTTCTATCCCTTTACACGTTGAAGAGGATGGCTAAATGGAGCACATTTTGATGTACTCTTTTTTCTTTTTCCCTTGAATGAATGCCTTTTGTTCCCATTTTGTTCTATGCATATCTTAGGATGATTAGCACGTTTAGCATATAACAGACATCACACTTCTCTTCCTACTATACTTGATAAACTCTCCCATTTCAATTGGATGACTGTAAAAGGACATGGAGTTGATGTGCTTACTCCTGTTTTGGTAAATTTCTTTGTTAGGTTAGGTATATTATTTTAGCTCCCAAAGAGTCAAAACTGGCTTTTAAAATTATGCATATAATTTTGTAGCCTTGCCATAGGTCTTTTGCTCACTCTAAACTACTCTTTTAATTCAAAAATTTGCACCAATATTTCCCATGCTAGTGAAGAAAAACTTGTTTGAATTGGAATAGAAACAACCATTGGGAAATTCGATAGATTATAGGCATGCAGAAAAGAGAAGTATAACAGCTTTTGCTTTCAAGACTTTTGTGTAACAATGGGCTTAGAATTTGGTAATGGAAATGTTATGAGCAAATCAAATAGGCATAGTAGAAAGTAATTTGCAAAAAAGAAAATAGAGAAAGGAAGATAAAGTAAATGTACTCTATTCCATGAAGCTTGGTAGGGAGTTTGGGAGACATGTTCAAATCTGTGAAACAGTTTTACATTCATTCTTTAGCAGGAAAACTAGATGAAAATTTTTATTCTTGTTCTACTTCAAGGCCTTTTAATAGATGCTAGAAAACCAATATAGCTCCCACTTAATGTTGTAATAAAACAGAACTTGGAATTTATGGTGAAATAGAAAGTTCCTTTCCAAGTTACTACTACTAGTAGGTTTGATTGCAACCCAAAAAATATTCCTAACCCAACTAATAATTGAACTCTTCGAATTCATTATCTTTGCGAACTCCTCACCAAGCATGAGAAATAAGAAAGCCCTCATAATCCAAAAATGCATTAACTTGCTCGACTCAACCAGCCTTTATCCTAGTTACTTGGGTTCAGTTACTTGGATTCATTCCCTTCTGTTGATTCTATTGGAAGTGGTGCAGATCATAAGTACATGATGAAAGAGTGAAATAAAAGAACTGATAAAGTTTAGAAATTGCTAGGTTTCAAGCTGAATCTACTTGGGGCAAATTGGAATCATGTGTAATCAAGTTTTTTGTCTTATTGGAGTTTTGTTTTATAGTTTTCTTAGTTAGGTATTAATCTTGTCGTTTTCTTACTTGTTTTCAAGTATTTTGGTATTTTCAGATTTTTCCGGACATGGGGGTTGCCCACAGGTCGTCATATGGATCAAGTTATGTATTATGGTTTTTGTTTACAATCTTATTTGGTCTTAATTAAGTCAAAAGTAGGGCTGCAAATGAACCGAGCTGTTCATAAACAAGCTCGGCTCGGCTCGTTAAGGGCTCGGCTCGGCTCGGCTCGTTTAGTAAACGAGCCGAGCTCGAGCTCGAGCTCGCATAAGCTCGGCTCGTTAAGTTCGGCTCGTTTATCTTTATTTAAATTATATAATAAATATATTATTTATATATTAAATAATATATAAATATATATAAATACATTATTTATGTATTAAAAATATATAAATATACATAAAAATAATAATATAAATACATTTTTTATATATTAAATAATATAAATAATATTTTTTATTTAAATATTTATATTTAAATAATATAAATAATATTAAAAAAAATTATCGAGCCGAGCCGAGCCGAACTCGAGTTTCATTAAAATTAACGAGCCGAGCCGAGTTGAGTTCGAGCCTAGTTCCTTATCGAGCCGAGCTCGAGTTCAATAAACGAGCTCGATAAGTAAACGAGCTCAGCAAAGCTCGGCTCGGTTCGGTTCGTTTGCAGTCCTAGTCAAAAGTATAGTTTGCTATTTACAAATCCTAGTCCTAGTTAGTGTGGAGAGTCTCCAAAATCTATATAAAGTAATGTAATACCTCTAGTTCAATGGATAATATGTGTTTGAGAATCTTCAGAGCTTTTGAAGTTTCTTTGGATTGTTTGATGCAATTCTAACCTTAGGTGTGATGCCTATGAGATTTAGGTATGATGTCTAGACTATTCCTTCTTCTTTCCTTTTCTTTTCTGTATTAGCCCCTATCCAAGTGTCAAGTATCATATTTGCTTAACTCTAGTACTCTAGATTACAAAAAATACTAAACTAGCTAAGTTATTGTTCATGTTGCCTAGAACAACCCCCAAATAGCTCCTAAAACCTTGTGTTTGGATTCTCTAAATCTAACCTTTTTGTTACCCCATACAAATCTTTAACCCCTTATTTTTTTGCTAACGGTTTCAACCACGAAAACCAATTAACAATTAGCCACAAAAAGCCTTCCAACCTGTTAGTTTTGGGCTCACTACTAATAGGAGAGTGTTCACCACACTCGTCCTACGTCACGAAGTTACATACTCAATTAAGCTTTAGTTAATTATGTACTAGCTAATCTCATTGTTAGAATGACCATTCATTATTAGTTGTTGCAAGTTGTATCATTGATAAATGGAACACATGGTACATTATTAGACTTTTATTTTTTATTTTTTAAGAATCTTACACCTAGTGAATGGTTTTGATTGAGAGTGTCATGTTCTATGTTACTAAAACTATCTTTAAGGCAATTTATAATTTTGTGACAAAATTTCTTATTGTACTAGACCTTGTAGATGTCTTTTAGTTTGGGGATTAAAAATACAAAAAACTGATTTTTAGTTCATTGGCATTGTAATGAAAGTCAGGTTCTAGAGCCTTGAATTTTGAAAATAGATTATCATCAATATTGCTGCCATATGAAAATAGTAAGACACGTTAGAAAGTTATGGGTGCCCCTATGAATGGTTTTGTGTCAATATTTGTATAGGGCTTTTAATGACATATTGTGAAGCCTATGAACTTAGCATCAAAAGGTCAAAATAGCATTAATTATTCTTCTTATTAAATTTTGGGAGATTTTTATGCTACCAAGATTTAGGGTCAACTTGAGTGCAAGTGGTAGACTGATGTAGGGGCATAGTCTTGGTTGATGTGGCAGCTATGAGGGCATCTTATGTGGTAGCCATATGGGCAACATGTGGCACTTTATTAATATTTTAAGTGTCTTTTTAGTTTCTAGTAAAATTACATATGATTTATTTGTATTAGATATCGCTTATTATTATAGTTTCGAAGTCGTGTTTGACTGTCTAGTAGGTTGAACAGTTGTCTAGGTAATTGAATGGTTTGTTGGAAGTTGTTTAGAATTTAATAGGAGGTAACTATAATTGTAGTGCATCATATACATGAAAGAAAATAGAATGAAAAGGAAAGATTTATTTGGATTGAAATAAAAACTCAAATTGTTGGGACATTTTCCCTTTTACAACCTTCTTTGGCTTTCTACCATTTGTAGAACTTTTTCCGCATCATTTGGTATCAAAGCAGGGACCTGTCCTTCTGAGTTTCATTCCATGGACCTTGACTACAAAACATTGACCGAGGAAAGATCATGTGTGGTAAATTTCACGTGAAGCAAATTATTGAACAAGAGATTGTTGAAGATCATCAAATAGCGTGGGAAGAGATTATTTTTGAATAAAATTCATCTTTTTTACAACCACAAGTGGATTGGAATTTTCCTCCAATCGACAATGAGTACTCAAATGATGGTTATTTACTCATTACCAAATATGATGATCATTTAGATGAAGGCAACCTAACCTTTGCCGAGAAAAATGCATGTTTGAAAGCAAGCTATGGAAAATTTGGTTCAATTGAGGCAGCTTGATACCCTCATGCCTTGACCATGAATTGCTTAAGATACACAATTCTGGTGACATGTTACGTTGGAGTGATATTGTGGATTCCATGAGTGGGCGACTCATCTTCCAAAGAGTAGCGCTTCTTGTGGGTTTATTTAGATTGTCAACTTGAGAAGATTTTTCCATGGATCATCTCATTCTTTGATCACCAATGAAGGAAAATTTTGGAGTAGTTGTCAAACTATTATTTGAACATCAGTGGACTTCTTCACCACTCCAATACAATGATCCATTTTGGTTGGAATTTTTAGACAAACACATGATTAAGCACATCCTAGGTCATATATTACATTTTATGCTTTTGACATTGGAAGACTATGGGAGTAAGAAGTTGTGGACATGTTCAATACAATTGATCACTCATGAAAGTCTTGTGTTCTTTTATTGGGCTCACAAGGATCAAGTTTTTGGAAATATTTCCAATAATGAAACCTTTGATTGGATGAAAACTGAAGTTTAGAAAACAATTGAAGAAAAGTTGAACTCGAGGTCGATTTCTTTTGAAGAGAGGGTGTACAATGCAAGGGTAAAGGCTTGGTTGAAGTGGCAACTATGAGGGCATCCTATGGGCAGCATCAGGCACTTTATCAATATTTTGAAGTGTCTTATTAGTTTCTAGTGAAAGTATATATGATTTATTGATATTGGATGTAGCCTATTATTATAGCTTGGAAGTGTTGTTTGACTATCCACTAAGTTGAAAAGTTGTCTAGGTAATTGTAAGATCGTTGGAACTTGGAAGTTATTCAGAATTGATAGGAGCTATGAAAGAAAACTATAATTGTAGTGCATTATATAAAATAGAATAAAAAGGGAAAATTTATTTAGATTGAAAAAGAACATTCAAGTTGTTGGGACTTTTTCCGGTTTACAGCCTTCTTTGACTTTCTACCATTTGCAGAACTTTTTCTGCATCATAGACAATCATGTTTTAAGAAGGGAGATATTTCAAGGGGAGATTTTATTAGGTTTTTTTTTTTATTTGAAGTATCTCTTTGATATCATAGGTTCCTATTGTTAAATTATTTTTGTTTTTTGTTTCAATTTTTTACATGGTAGTGAGATATTCTTCTAATTTTGATGAAGTCTACAACTCGGTTCGATTTATGAGTTGTGTTTTTGCAATATGTTTTCATTTGATTCAGCTTGGTTGCTTGTGGGTTTTGATTAAAGACTATGTATATATTCTAGCGTGAAGTGATTAATGATGGTTTGGGATAATAACATTGACCTCCCTTTGGAGTATCTCTTTGATATCATAGGTTTCTCTGGTTAATTTAATTTTGGTTTTTGTATTAGTTTTTTTTATTTGTTAGAGAGGCCTAATAATTTTAATGAAGTCTACAGCTTCTGTTTATGTGTTATGTTTTTGTAATATGTTTTCATTTGACTCAACTTGGTTGCTTGTGGGTTTTGATTAAAGACCAAGTATATAGTCTGGTGTGAAGTAATTAATTATGGTTTGGGATAATAACATTGACCTCCCTTTGGATTACTAATAATTTTAGCAATTAACCTTGTGAATTGGCTATTTTAGTGCTGCTCCCTTTCTTTATTCCTTTTCTTTTATAAATAACATGCCCTCAATAATTGAAATCACTGTCTAGTTTTGATCTTCCTTTTCTTTTACCAGCATTGACATACATGACGCTTTATGGAAAATAACTCTTCATTTTAATGGTGCTTGTACTTGTTTTGTTCACCATTAATTCTTGCGCTGGTTTTTCTTTTTGTTTTCATCATATCAGGTTAAGGAATCTAATTTATCAATATAGCCATGTAAGCATGTTTAATCTATCTATTCCATGAGCCTCTGTTCTGTGTTAATCATGGACAGCTAAATCTCAAAGTTATATATCTAGTGCTTTATATTAATTTTGCATTCAGTGAAAAACAGAAAGAGGACTAAAAACTTGATATTTATGTGGTAGGGCATTTATGGAATCGAACCTGCCAGCATTTAAAGAGAACAATCCTCAGCTAGAAGTCGTCACTGAGCTCATCCGTGGTCAACATCCACATTTGAAGGGCTTTTACAGTAAGAATCTCTCTCTCTCTCTTTCTCTCTCTCTCCAGAAAAAGAGTAAAAAGTTACTCGACTTGTATCAGTTTCTTTTCTTCTTGTTTTTTTTTTTTTTTTAGTTTTGTTTTTAAAAACACTGATGAAGCCAGTAATAGGCTTGTCTGTTTGATTAGCATGTAGTGGTTCTAAGTTTAGGTCATCCAACTGTGCCACCTTACATCAGTTATACCTAGCTTCAGAGTCAGAATTATTGAACAGACAATTTATTTGAGATCATTCTCTTTAAATTTGATTACTTAGGTAAGAAACTGATTATATGGTTAGTTTCTTCTGAGAAAAATGGTTTGTGATGAAAGTGGTTTGTCAATTGAAGGAATGTTGTGTCTAGGGGTGTGCGCGGTGCGGGTCGGTGCGGTTTGAGAGAAAAATAGAAACCGTATGGCGGGTGGCGGATTGATAAAATTGTCACTAGAATTTGTCATTTATCAAAAACCGGCGGTTCGGTTGGCAAATAATGGCGGATTTGCCTTGGCAGTTCGGGCGGATTGGCGGTTTATAAAAAATATAATTCAAATTACAAAACTTAAATCAAAGAGTAAAAAAAAGACGAGAGATACCGTGATGTTAAGCATCTTGCGAAGCTTTCTTCTGATGCAGCAAGTGTAGCAACAACATGATAATATCAACGACTATGCCATCAGTTCATTACAAGCATCTGTGGAAGCTACAATGATCAAATACAATACATAAAATTAATATCATTCAGGGTTTACAATATATTGAAATTGTTTACTGTTGAAAAGTATTTAGATTGAAAAGTAAGCTGATGTAAGTTTGCAACATGGCCAGAAAAAAAAAAAAGATTGAAAAGTGAATTGGAATCCAACTTTATTTTGGATTACTGACATCTTGAATTCCCCCCGAGTAGTAATGTAATACTATATTCTTAAGGTATAGAACAACAAGCAAACTTAAGTAAAAAAGAATTTTTAGAATCTTATAAAACATGATTTAATAGCGGTGCGGGTCGGTGCGGTTTGGAAGAAAAATAGAAACCGGCGGATTGATAAAAGTGTCACTATAATTTGCCATTTTTCTTACTAAAAACCGGCGGTTCGATTGGCAAATAATAACGAATTTGCCTTGGCGGTGCGGTTCAGTGCGGTTTTGGCAGTTTCGGCGGTATTATGCATACCCCTAGTTGTGTCAACGTATTTGATTTTATTTTTTAGATCATCACTATCTAGTTGTTGAGCAGGCCTTACTTTTTACCTGTGATTGGCACTCGTTAATTTATTGGAACTAATTTGTGGAAGTGTACAACCAAAACCTCAAATTTGGCCGACCCCTTGTTACTTGGATGGGTTTGGTTGAGTTGGATGTCAACTTAGGCCCAGCCTAATGGGTTGAAAATTAGGCTAAGCTCAAGCAAATATGGGCTGTCAATATCGACTCTAAGCGAACTCTAGAAGTGATGAATGAGAGCAGTTCATGTTCTTGGTATCTAGAATGTGGCCTACTTAATAAGCCTCCATGAATGTGGCCTACTTTATAATAAGAGAATCACCTCATGTGCCATACACATCTTGATCAATGGAAATTATATTTAGGATTCTTAAGGTTGTGTTTAGATCATAGATTTAGGTAGAGATTTGAAAAAAGTGAGAGAAATGTGAAAAAAATTTAAGCTACAAGTTTTCTCCATTTCCCTTTTCCTTTCTAAATCCTTATCCAAATCTATGATCCAAACACAATGCGAGTGTTCATGTTTTTCCAGGCAATCACCAAATTAACATCCTGAAACATGATTTCAAATAATCTATATTGAGTTTCCACATGACAATAACATAAAAGAGCTGTGTGCTGTGAGACACAAAACCAATTGTTCATGTTGCAATACATGGCTTTCGTTGGTGTTGAATCTTGGGTTGGACATGAAATAATTGGTGGCACATTTTTTTGGGTAAGAGAAGAGTCACTTTCTGGAATTCGCAAGTGACATGATTCCTTCAGAAGCTAAAGTTGAATGATTGAAGTCTCCTTCAGGTTCAGTCAAAGAGATAAAAAAGAAGTCATCAAAAAACATTCACATGGTCTCCCCTATGACTGACCTCTTTTCCAAATGAACCGAAAGGGCTGAAGTAAACCTGAAGCTCAATTTTTAGTAGCTGTGACAAGGTTGAATGGTTTGAGCTTTACCATTTTTTGTGTTGAGCTTTACCATTTTATGATCCAGGAAGTAGTTGCCATGTGACACATTTCTTGTAAGAACTGTCTGACCGAGGTTTTTAAAACCAGTGGGAAAACATTTCCTCATAACAGACAGGTGAAAAGTAGCTAGTTAAAGACATGGCAAATGCAAAAGGATAATATATGCTTTGAATACTCCTTTGGAATCTATGCAACATATATTTTCCTCTATGTTTTTCATGACTTCCTCTTAAATTGTGTGGTCTCAGTATATGAAAATGGCATTAGCTTCTTTGTAAAATTCCCCGCTTTGTTTCTTATGACAATTTTCCTCTGGCACATTTCTCTACAATTTTCTGTCATTGTGGATAATTAAACATCTCGTTGAATGCATTGCACAATCGGGTGAATAAGTTTTCTGAATTTTAACTGTATTTACTCACTCAATATTTGCAGAAAACAAGAATCAGCGGGTGGTATGTGTGAAGAATCTGTCACCAGAAGATATACTTCTACAGGCAACGAGACTAAGGAATGCATTGGGAAGAAAAGTGGTGAAGCTGAGGACGAGACATGTCACCAAGCACCCTAGCGTGCAAGGCACCTGGACAACCGAAGTGAAATTTTGAGGCATAGAAAATCTTCACTAGGAGCTTTGTATGGTTGTGTTTCTAAAGAATCAGATTTGCATGCTTCTTTTGGTGATTCCTGTTAGTCATCAATAAAATCATGGTTCTGTGAGGACTTTTAGGTACTGCTGAAAAAAGGGGAAAAACTCAAACTGTTATTAAAGAGGTTATATTTTTGGTTCTTTCTTTGGTGATTCAGGTTCTTTTAGTGTACTTTTTTGTATTTGAAGTTTCAGATCACCGGTCCCTTTCTGCCATCTTGGGTGGAAGTTTGATTTTGCATTGTTTACTTTGTCCACATTTTGGAGTTCAAATACATGTTGGAAATCTAAATGCTGGCAAAAAAGGAGCACTTGTGGTTTGGGGACACCATAAATAAGCAATTTATTTGTTTATTGTTACAAATTGTTACATCATCTCTTTATTTTTCTATGTCTTTTCGTAAAAATTTAAAAAGTAACTAAATAAGCAAACCCTAAATTACCAAATTTAAGCTCTGTTTGGTAGAGCTGTGGGAAAGTGCTTATAGCTTATGCCTAAACAGTTTATAGCTTATAACTATGAAAATAAGCTGATTTCTGACTTATAAATTAAGCATCTCATGCCTCACTCAAAAAATAAGCCGATTTCTGACTTCCAAAAAGCTATAAGCTATAAGTTAAACCAAACACATCAAAATATCTTAAATTAAGCTGAAAGCTGAAATAAGCTGTTTTTAAGTTCTGCCAAACAGACACTTTATCTAGTTGAAGAGCAGTTGGGGATTTTGCAACAAATACTTGAAACATGACATTTGCGTAGCTTATGCAAAAGATGTTTTATGTATGAGATTGTCATTTAGACACTGTTAGTTATATTAGTGGTGGCGGTGTTAATGCTGGTGGCGGTGAAAGTGGTGGTGTTAGTGTGATAGCATTAATACCACCTTTCATAAGTGGAAAAATATTTTTTTGTTCCAAGATTTGTTTTTCGTTGATCACGAAAAGTGTTTATTATTGAATTGTGTTTTTTGTCATACTTGGTTTTTATTTTTATTTTTTTAGTAAGCTATAAATTTTGTACCAAAAAATTAAACATTATGTTGAAACTCAATACAAAGTCAAAAAGACAATAAATCCTGGGTTTGATTGGGAGATTTGGGTTGAATTTTTTTTTTTTTCAAATCTCTCAACCAAACATATTGTTAGAAAAGGGAAGCATACTTTTAACTTTAATACAAAACATAATTGATGAAGTAGACAATACTCTTAGCTACTAACACAAAACATAATTTACTGAGTAGACCAAATCGAGTAATGCTACAAATATTAATTAGTATACCAGCTAACACAACAACTAAGACATAAGACATACATGTGGGTTTCACCACTTAACATAGATTCCACCTAATATTGTATCCAGTTGGTGTGTTAATTGATACATTAATTAGTGTTCCCAACTTTACTCAAACCTAAATAAGTTCAGAGCTAGGCTAACGAATACACATTGAGTCACAAAATAATATTATATTACTCTCATCAAATCAGTACTCAATTCTCTCAAAATCAACCCATGGTTTTGTAAGACCTAACCCACCCACTACTCCGATATCACCAACGGAGTTGATATCAAACTTTGCATAGTCTTCATCTCCAACAAATATCATCTCCAACAGACTATCCCAAAAGAATAAACAACAAATATAAGTATATGGAAAGAGTAATCTCCAACATACAACATGACATTCATGGAAGCTCTTAATCAATCAAGTTACAAAATATCACTCTTGATAATGGCAAATCTAGGGAGGTTCAAGAAAGGCAAATCAAAGAAAACTACCCATCCAAATAACAAGCACAACAAGATCTTGCATTCACAAACAAGAATCTGTAATGGGGAAGAGAAGAATTTTGACCCAAAGGTTAAGCAATCTGAACCAACAAGATGAGACCTTAGTTCTTACCATGAAGCTCCTCATAAATATTAGAGATCACTAGCCAACACCCCACCCACCATATCAAAAACAAAGACTAAGAGCAAGAGGTAGAGAAGGCCCAAGAAATGTATAGAGTATGAGATAACACAAAGCACACATGGCTATAGATTGCTATGGGAAATTTCTAAAGAGAAAAGCTCTATCCTAAAGAGAGACCCACTCTTTATTTTGTCATATTAAGTGTCAACTAATACAAAAAATAGTTAAAAGAACTGGATGTTTGAATCATGTGGCTTGCCTATCTAACTGTACATCTGAACACTGAGCAAAATGCATACAAAACTGTAGAAGGTTGAGCATTGAACTTGAAAGATTAAATTTTAGTAAATATTCACTGATCTCATCATTTACGGAATCAATTTTTGATGTGGTGCTCAATTTTTTTTATATATTTATTTATGCAATTTTTAATTTAATGTTGAATATGGTGCTCATTTTTGTATGGCCTTTGTAATGTTTCTATTCAAGGAATATGGTTACTAGCGACAACTAAACACAGACTATTATGCCTTGATCAGTACAAAAGGGCAGGCAATACCAACACAATAGCAACATTGGGGCTTGAAAGTGAAACAAAAGCCAGAGCACATGAGCCGGCTAATGCTGCTTCTAGCGACAAATTAGTGACATTGGGGGTTGAAAATGAGAGAGAGAGAGAGAGATATTCTGTCAGTTACTATGGATAGTTTGCTTAATTGAAGAAAATTAACACAGATTTGACCACAAGTCCCTCAAACCTTTCGTGTTTTGTCAAAAGGACACAAAAAATTCAATACTTATAAAACTCCCTCACAACTTCCATTTGTTGTTAAAAGGACAAAATTTTACTTGATTCATAATAAAATTTTATTTTGAATCAGAGTAAAATTTACAATTTTGCCCGTGAACAAAAAAAAAGAAAAAAAAGAAACAAGGATTTACAAGGAAAGGAGTGAACAAGAGAGAGAGAGAGAGAGATCAAATGAGAGAAACAGAGAGAGGGGGGTCGAATGAGAGAGAGAAACAAAGTCAAAGAGAGAACGAACTATCAATTTTCAAATCTAAAGAAACAAATCTCAAATTTGAGGTTATCAAACTCATATGAGATAATGAAATCAAACATTGGCCATGAGAATGATAAGAATGATGTTTTAAAATACTAAGAACTTTTGAAAATACTCATAATTCTTATCATTTTGACAAAATAAATGCCTCCGGAGGGATTTATTGCCAAATTTTTTAAATTAAAATTCATCCGAAAAATATCTCCAAATCTAAAAGTGAAGTTGATGATCACAAAAAGCTACTATATTGATGTAAAAAGCACCCATTTCCTAAACAATTGCAGGACTTCATTAACACAACACAACACAACATACAACCATCACAATGACATAGGCTTCTTTCAAACATCCCATATCCATTGGTAGATATAATATTGTTTCAAACATTTATAGAAAATTTTACCTACAACTATAATTTCATATATTTATTGTCATCACCTCAAAAAAATAAATATATATATATATAAAGGCCAAAAACCCCTGCTGGTGGAATAATTTTACGTTAGATCCCTGATCAAGAGGGGCAGTAGTAAAGAAAATGAAATCCAAGAACCTCAAGACAAGGAGCCTAGGTGATTAATTTGATTGTTCGTAATGTGAAAGAACCCGAGCTGGAAATCCTGTATCCAATCACTAACCACTGGTAGCAGCATCAGCAGCCTTTTTCTCTCTTTGTTTCTCCCTCTTCTTCTTATTTTTCAATGCATTCTTGCTCATTTCTCTACATTAATGCAACAAATGGGGAGAAACAATTAACAGAGTTAGCTTCAGAACCAATCAAAACTTGACATAAATATATATATATATAACAACAACATACACACGCCAGTGTACTTACTGTGTAGCGCCTCCTCCAAAGAGCTGTCATTACAGTGTCAAAATCATCAGAATCAAATCAAAGTGTCAAAATCATCAGAAAACCAAATTAAAGAGGAAAACAGAAAAGGAAACAAGAAAGGAATATGGAAAAAGAGAGTTTAATCCAGAGATCACGTCTGAAATTTTAAGATTGTTTACAAATTACACAAGTCCAAATCAACATGCATGATGAAATTCTCTTGCTCAATGCTATGGAAGTTGAAACTCAATTTATTAGTCAATTACAGTTTAGAAGAAACTCATTAGATCCAGGTGCAATAATATTATTGGTTCACCAATGTTCATAGCCCACTACCTTGATTTTGAGATGTCAGAACAACACACAAATCTGGTTATAGTTATATTACTCTTATCATCATTCAGGCAGCCTGGAGTCATTAATTTCAGAATGCAGATAAGACAGTCACCCAGTGAAGGTTCCTCAATCTGATGTACGACAATAAGGGACAGCCACAACAGTAGGCTTTTGGGGCTGACTGAACACTGTTTTAGGGGCTGTTATGAGGCTGCAAACAGTGGATTCATGAACAGTGTTTTGAGCTGTTAAAAGTGCTAAAATAAAAGAGGGACAGAAGGAGAAGGAGAAGAAGAAGAAGAAGAAGAAGATAAGTCTAGAAATCACTCCTAGAATTCCTTGGACATCGCACCTAGGGTTAAGGTTGCATCACACAATCCATAAGAAAGCTTCAAAGCTTTCCAAATTCTCTAAAATATCAACTCTATTAAACCATAAGCATTATATGGCTCTAAACCAACTATAACCAAAAAAAGAAACTATTATAATATCTTTTAACTTCTAAAACTAATTTAAGACCAAATAAATAAACATAAATAAAACCTAATTAAACAACTTGACTCACAAGACGACCATGGGCGACCCCCACAACCCATGACAGCAATAATGGAAATTACCAAAATACCTTTGACCTAAAAATCCTACAAAACATAAAAATAATCATAAAATAAGACTAATAATACTAGAAATATAATTATATAAAATTCTTATCAGTTTCTCTATAAAATCATGTCTATGTCCAAATATCATTGCTTCTTTAAACTTAGCCTTCCTTGAACTTCTTTTACTCTGCATCACAATTAGTCATAGGCGAGGCCTCCTCGTCTACAGTTAGTTTACATTATCCTACAGTGAGGGAAATTACTATATACCGACCGACTTGACCTTGTCAGAGATAAGTACTAATAAAATAGAAAGAAATTGCCACCGTTACAGAACAGTGACAGAAACATGGTATCCCAATGCATGATGGGTTCAGGTTTCTGCTGTTTCCACTTCATTTAATGACGGTAAACAAAACTTGGTCAAACGTGCTTGGAAATGACATTAACATCACATAATATGAACAACAAACAATGGACAAGTGTGGTACATGAATGAGCCCATATGCCCCATGACCGTGCATTAGAATTCAACTAATATATAACATGCAAGCCATACAAATATCAATACATTAAAAGATAAAAAAAGGCACCAAATATAAAGATATCAGAACTAGTTTTATGCATACCTCAGCCTGAATGGCATCTGCAGTCTTAGCATGAGGTGGGCGATATGCAGCAGGTTTCTGTGTAGGAGGATTGGCAGAGGCAGCTTTTGCAGAGGACTGGGAAGATTTTGACCCTTGTCCTGAAGAAAATTGCTTTTAATTGCCCATATATCGACTTTTATAAAAATCAAAAACCGAATATTTATAAATTAAACAAGAGAAAGAACCTTGTAATTTGGTTTCTTCGACTTTCAAAGAGTCAATAGACTTCACAAGTTCTGCAATATCACCAAATCTATCTGGTGATTCCGGTTTCCATTCAGCCTGTGTGAAGAGTTGGCAGGAAAAGGGTTGAAAGAAGAAAGCAGATTATGGATTGGATTAGAGGATGATCAATAAAACAACTGACCTGATACAATTTGTCAAACATCTTCTTGAAGTACAACGATCCATTGTAGTGAAAAATCTTAATCCTTCAATATACAAAGAGAAATGAAGCAAATTATCAGCAAATCTGTTTATTTATCAGCAAACCAGAAAAGAGAAAAGGAAAAAAAAAAACAAAAAAAAAAAAGCAATACAGGCAGTTTAGCTGGCATGCACACACCACCAACCTAAGAAGCCTGAACATTTCCGTAAAGGAAATGTATCGTGTCGGACATCCATTGTGGACACTCCTAAAAGCATGTCGGACATTTTTTCAACTTGTCTCAATCAAGATTGTTAAAATCGGAATCCTACATTGGATCGTTGGAGGTGTTTATAGGGTTGGATCGTAGAATCGGATCGAGGATCGTAAGATCCTACCAAAAAAGACAAATTACATAATAATTTAATTTAAATAAATATTTCTTAAAAAGTATACACAAAATGAGTCCATATTCTATTAAAAAGAAGTGAAGATATTGTGAAAAATATAATACTCCATGTAAAATGTACATATAATATTATACAATAGAAAACTTCATGGTAAAAGTTTTGTATTTCATCAAAAAAGAAGGTGAAAAATAATTCTATAATAAAATACTTTACAATCTTCAATAATGCAAAAACAGTGAAAGAAAAAATATTTAACAAAGTTGGATATGAAAATAGTTTAAGAACTCAAAAGAACAGCTTAACCAAATGATAAGGTTTGTCGTTAGCATCCATAGTGAACGGATTCGAGTCACAAAAATAATCTCTCCAAAAAATTGGGATAAAGTTGCAATCATTTTACCCTACTTAGACTTCGCTAAAGCTAAGTTTATTTTTCTAACTAGTTAATTTTCTTAAATTACCGCAATATTTAAACGTTTGTTTTTTAATTTGTTTTTCTTAGTCTATTTGATTCAATACTACTTAATTTTCATTATTTATTTTTTACTATAAATTGGTATTTAGACAACAAATATAAAATTTATAATAAAATGTCATAAAATACAAAACAAGACTTGTGAATTGGACCGGATAGGATCAGATTCGGATTCAGATTCGAATCGGGATTCCACGATCCTATAAGATCTCATTACCAAGATCGAAAGATCCTACCTATAACGAATTTTTTACATGATCCGGATCGATTGTACTCAAATGGATCGTAAGATCATAGGATTGTAAGATCTGGATCGGGTCTCAATTAAAATTTTAAATTTATAATATTAGACACTTTACAGACACTTCTCAAACACTTCTTGAACCATCCGAATAGAGCCTCTGTGATGAATCTCTTTAGAGTAACAATGCTCTGCAATATTCGGAATGCAATAATGGCCTTGCTCACATACAATCAGAACACCTCAACCATAATTCACTAATACCATCGGTCCCTTTCATTCATCTACTCCCACAACCCTAACCCTTTTTCCTTGTCCCTCCACCCCAAATATTCAAGGATCACTTGCGCCTGCATTAGGCCACCACCCCCCATCGAGATTTCACAACTTTGATTATTTATTTTACATCACTTGCAATTTGACCAAAAACTTTGCTAATCCACTTTTGTTTACATCACAGTTCCTCCATTTTCATTCCAGAACACCATGATCTCTACCGCTGACCCCACCCACAATGACCAACCACCAGAAGTCGTCCTCCACTGCCTGAACAGAATGAGTGATCTCCTACAAGACTGACATCTCCCTTGGGAGGTATGTCACTCTCTTCCACATCTCACTCTCCCTTTCAGATCTCACTCACTTGCAAGTTGCAACTCTGATTAATTCTGAATGTTTTGTTTTCTTTTCATGATTAGGTGTCTAAATTAATCCAGCCCAACCCATTGGTTTGAAACTGCCAAAAATAGTCAAATAACTTGTTGGTTTGCAAGATGTGAAGTTTGGCTGTGAATAAAAAAATACTCATCCGCCAAGGGTAGTTTAGCTGAAATTTTACCCCTAAACTGACCTCGCACACCCATAGTTTTTTCCACATGTCATCCCATGCAATAGACAAGTGCTCTTAACCCAGGTGGCCCATGGAAGAAGGGTGGGTCACACCTGGCTTGCAGGCATTTCTTGCATCCCGGTTGATTACTTCTTTGTTAAAAACAAATCAATAAAATGTATCAATAATGGTATATGCATACTATGATGACCATAATTTCTTACCACATTTCGTTTACCATGTAATTTGTGACCACTGCATTGGTTGAATCGGTCCCACCACTCATGTCTATTTCTAATGTAATACTGACAAATCACATGGCAAACCAAATGTGGTGGTCATAGCATTTTATTGAATATGTATTGATAATGAGTATTAAATATTCGGAAACATGGGTTGAGGTTACAAAAAGTAATACATATATATTAGACCCCTAGAATTTACTCAGCTAGGATAAGCTCATTGGTGCCATTGTTACTAGCGAAGTGACCCATCAAAAAGGCTGCCAACAACTCAACAACCAAATCCCTAGATTGTACCCATGTGCAGAAAATGCTTTGTTCATTCAAATAACGACTCTTGATCCTTTGAAGCCCCAGCTCTATGGATTGCAAAAGTTCAGATTCAACTTGAATACTGATATTCCAGCAAGTATTTCCCAAATTTTAAAACATAGCTAATACACAGTCAGCTAAATTTTAACCATGATGTTTAACCACAATCAGCTAAAGCACAACATATCCACAATCAGCTAAATATTGACATACCCATTGTCAACTTGTAGTCTTGGAGCTGTTGTGGCAGTCATGAAATAGCATCCATCTGGAGACCATTCACTTGTTACCGAGCATTCAGCCTTGGTAGTCCCAAGCTGCCTTTTCTCCATATAGTCCCAAAATGCCTGAACAAGAAGTAGAGGATTTGAAAATTTTGTTGGTACGTCTAGTAGATAGCAATAAAGCTACCACGGATTGAAGTTGAAAGAGAAAAAGGCATCTTGCAAGAAATTACACAGAAGCTATACACACAGAAGGGGGTGTGGGGTTTAAAGAAAACAATAAAGAAACATCAATAGCCCAAGAGCACACTGCAAATATTTTTGATTCTGCATGAATATTAGTCAGGATATGATCACTATGGTAAGACAAACAAGAAGGGAAACCTAGACTCACAAATTCTAAAAAGTGGTAAACATAGGTTGTCCAATACACCTAGAAGTTATAAATGCAAGAATGGATTCTTTTAAACCGGTAGATGAATAATAAATATCAGTATCATCAATGCCCAAGTTCTCCAATTATAGTCGGAAACTAAGAAGCACAGACATTTAGTAGACAGTGCCGATTTCGTGTGAAACACTAACATTCATCAGACACTTCCTAACATGTGGCCAAACATGTCCTATTATTATTTTATTTTTTTAAAATTAGAACTGGACATACTTCAAACGTTTGGGAGACACACGTGTCCATCACTTGGACAAAAATGAAGATTATGACAAGTGTTCTTTATGCAATAGATCAAGGATAGTCTAAATGGAAAGACAACTAGGATTTATCGGGTTATTTAAAAAGTTGAAAGTGTTTGAAAAACACATCATAAATAACTTTTCCTATTTGCAAAACCAAAGCCAAAAAAATGAAGTGATGGGAACCTCTCAAGCAAAGCTTAGGTTCCTCATATATATATTCACCAACTCCAAAAGAGAGAAGATTACAATCCCATTTTATAGACTTTTGAAAGCTATAACAATGAGTCCTCATCCTTAAATCAAACTAACCTTGACCCTCATTTCAAATCCAAATACCGGAACTAAAAGAACAAAAACAAGTTAACAAGTCAATGCTACAGTAACAAGAACCCTGACTGGCTAATATAACAGTAAAGTTAGCTCTTCCAACTTCTAAAAATAAAAATTAAGAAACAACGAAACTCACAAAATATGAATCTGATTAGTTCTAGACAGCAGATGTAACCAAGGGTTACCATCAAAGACTGCCGCAGACACTTAGTGACCAGAGTGACAATTAAAGATTTACTTTTAGTCCCAAGAGGGTATTCTCCAACCAAGCAAATGGTCTAGCATCGGTCCTTTTGCTTCTAGTTTTTTCCTAGATCAATCTCTGTTCTGTTGGGTGCCTATTCATTATTCTTGATATTTTAGCTTAAGAAAGGAAACAAAATAAAATACAACTCACTAATTTGATGTTCTGGATTCGAGTTTCACAGTTTAGTGCATGCTTTTGAAAGTGTAGTGCCACAAAACTAGTAGCATTTTTCAATAAATTTGGTCAGCAAGTATAGAAGAGTCATTCAGACTTATCTACTATAAATTTAAGAGATAAAACTGAGTTTCAGCCCATCATAATTGTCAAATCAAGAATCATATTATGAATCAAAATTTAATTTGCAAATCTTGAATCAAATCAAATCAAGAATTGTAAGATTTTGCACATACTATTAAAAAAAAATGATGTTAAACAATCATATGTATGAAACAAATTAAATTAAATTAATTTTGGCAAATGTTATAGAATAGTTCTTATATAAGGAAGAAATCACATTGTCTCTATTTGGCAAGAGATTGCCTTCATATGAAGAGATGTTGACCTGAATCCCACCAACCTATGAAACACGGACATCTCTCCGGAGGTCACATATATGAGTGTCCAACCCGTGCCGGACACGTTGGAGGAAGTGACATGGTGCATTTTTTTAAAAAAATTTAGTTTTTTTTATTTTTTGTTCACCAAAGTAGCATACCTAAGGTCAATGAATATAATAGAATAAATATATGATTAATGATAAATATCTAAAATTACATGTTTTATACGTGTCCCACCCGTATCGTGTCATGCATTTTTTAAAAATTTGTGTCCAAGTATTTGTGTCATGTTGTGTAGCGTGTTTCTTAGCCACCAACCCTAAGATTACTTTAAAAACATAACATTTTCTCCTTTGACATTCAAAAAAATGAGCCTAAAAATCTTAAATAACGTAACTAAAAAGAAATAATAAGTGAGAACCCTTTATTTTAAAAACCAAAAGCACTTTGAAAGGGGTGTATGATTATTGTTCAAATAAAAGAGTAAAAAAAGTAGTAAAACCATTGGGTGCGATTGACTTGACTCGTGTCATATTAAACTGTATTTATTTCATCAACTAACAATTATATGGGTACAAGTTACTTTAGCTGGGTAAAAGAAACACAAAAACCTGGAATCCACCCCTCTGCTGGATGGTGGAACAGCGACAGTAAACACTAATATGACAGCATCAATGCCATCCCTTCCCAATGACAGGGAAAAAGTTTCCACTAATATTATGTAAAAGAAAAATGCTATACCAAGACAGATTTCTTATCATTAGCCACAAAGGCAATGGGTCATGCAGACCCCACATCTTGTGTCTAGTGGTAAGAAAAAATGACAAGAAATTTGTTTGTGTAGCATAACTCCACCTTAAAAGGTAGAAATGCAAAGGAAAAGGTTAGACAAGACCTGTAACCAAAGCAGATTTTTATTTTTTGGTGATATTGCAAAATTTTTATTGAGCTAGTAACTATACTTTCTCAAAGGCATCACTAGACACCTCGACTATAATTGATGAAGATATTAATACCCTTAGGGCCTGTTTGATTTGGCAGATTATAGCATTGTGTTGGGATTATTAATCCATAGGACTCACATTTTATTCTTTGGTTGCAATTTTTGTTATCCAGATTACATTCCAATGGACATTCTATCTAACAAAATTGGCCCATTTTTTAATTCTACAACTAATGCAAAACAAACATATACTTGAGATCATATATTTCCACATCCATTGCAAAGCATACGTGGACAAGAGGAAATTATTTATTTCACTAATCCATTTGGATGGCATCACATGGATTGCTAATCCTTTCACAATTAATCCTGCTAATCAATTAGGGCCTTTGTGAATTTCAAAAAGTAGATAAAATAACCATATCAATGATTCAGTAGAATATTTTATTTTACTTGTAAGTTGTAAACAAGCAGACGATTATCACTGTTGTATTATGTTAGCAAACTGCCCAATCCATATTCCGGGACCCCAGATATTTCAAAAAATAAAAATCTCAGCTATTACATAAAATTTGAAATTGTCCAATCTGCTTTAAGAGAATAGCTAATAGCATAACAAGATGATAACCAAAGCCTCTAAACTTAAGATATTATTTGTAAGGCAGAAATAGCGATAAGCAGTCCTGAATTAGAGCATAGGAAGAGAATTCACAAATGAAATTCTGGAGAAAGTACAAGCCAGATATTGCAGTTGGAACTTAAAATAAAATTAATAATAATAATGAAAAAGAGGATAGAAAAAAAAAAAAAAAACCAATTAAATAACATACCATATCACCAGGTAAGTTTCCAAAGCCTGCCACGCATAGGACTGTAAAACAGAGAATTAAGGCGACATACAAATCAGGAAAATCAAGATAAATAATCCGTCCCAAGAACCAACACACGTCCCTGAAAAGAGTACAAGTTACAACATAGAAATGTACAATATGATTTTTTAAGGATACACTTCCCCTTTGGGTTCCATCTGATTGTATTGTAAGGGCCTGATCCAAGTTCAAGTAGAGCATTGCACTTCTTGTCAAACACCGTTGCCCTTGCAGGCATAACTAAAGCATGTCAAGGAACACTAACGTATGCCCAGTAACAAGAACAGATTATGGAAGGCAGAGCAACAATATCTGAACTAAATAATTATCCAGATTTCCCTTCATTGTTCCTCTGAAATTCCAGTAAGAGTAGCACTAGCAATAAAAGCATAAACTATAAGAAAAAAAAAAAGAAAGTCTTGCATCCAAGCCTTATATCATGTGAACAAGTGGATGTGTGGCACACGTTACATAATGCAATTACGCCCAATGAAGAAATAGAAAGCACTGATACTTATTATCATCAAACGATCTCAAGGCCAACTGGTCTATAACCTTTTTTTTTTTTTAGGTGGGGAACACTTTCTAACCAAATTACAAAAAAATAAAATAGATTACTTTAAAATCAATAGGCCTTAGGCAGGATCCCCAAATTTCCAGACTGTAGCTGTATGAAAGTCTACTTACTTCTGCTAGGTTTGCTCTCCAGAAAATTGTTCATGGAGGGGACAGTATGCCCTTAACTTTCATATCTTTTGCTAAATTATCTATCAAAATAAGGCATCTCACTAATATGCTACCAAATAAAGGATACATCCATAAACAACCGCAAATTCTGAACCAGAACATGACCATTGAACATCATGTACAGGCCCTTCTTTACCTACCAATGGCTCCAAGGATCAAATGTTTGCAAATAAACTCATGCTATTATACAAAAGATGAAAAAGAAATGTGTTGGAGCGAGGGGAGGGTGGAACATACGAAGTGGCACAACTCCGTCATGAGACCCATCTGTCGTCAAGTAGTGTAACTTTGATTCTCCATAATAACTCTGGTTGGTTTTGTCAACATCTGACTGCACAACAATTAGAAGCCCTGTAGAACCAGAGTTCCAATTCAGCTGCACTGTTGAACATCGGAAGAAGCTCCTTCGGGCAACAGGTTGACTGTGTGAATCCTTTCCACAAGCAAATACCTGGACACTGGCAGGAATCCCCTACAGGAACAAATGGATGAGCTGAAAGAAGAATACAAATTCCTCAGCCTCAAGGCAGCATAGAGGAAGGTGGTTATAGGGGTTTTTGGTTATTAGTTATGTATATATTAATAGCATGCCTGTTTTGAAAGGGATTTGTTACCCTACTCGGTTAATGTCATCCTCTCCTTTCATTCTCATAAGCTGTGGTTGCCTAGCCCCCACTAGACCCCAAGAAGAAAGAATGAAATATGTTATATACTAAAGTATATTTAGAATGAAGTATGTTGATGACATAGAGAGTATAAATAAATGACAAGAAGAAAAAAGACATAAGTTCTGGTCCATGGATATTCCAATCCCAGGTCAACAAACAAAACAAACAAAAATCGATTTTTCCAGCAGATACATGGTATTTGGCTGTTTACTGGTTATGCCTGAATAACATATTTCATACTCTCTTTGAGCAATGAATTTTTCAGTTCCGAAGTTTGGCAAAGGTTTAAAGATGTCATTAATTCATTCTCAACCATTTCTTTACAATGCTTGAAATAATTTTCAACCTCCACATTCTCGTATTGGTTCCTAACAGTACTGAATTCAAACAGAATTCCAAATATAAACATCAACTCATTAGCCAATACTAAGTGAGCTAAATCTTTGTATATTTCTAGTCCAAAGTGTGACCTAATATTGGAGAGGGGCCAATTCGGTAACGTTTATGTTTATAGCTTTCTGTTTATGTTTACAAAAATTTTAAAAACCATTAAAAATAAATAAATAAAAACAAACAAACAAACAACAACGACAATAACTTATTTGGTGTCTATTTTCGTTTTAAAAAAATTGTAAGCAACTTACAAAATTTACTGAATTCTTACAACCAAAATAAAGTTGGTTTCATTTGTTTAGAAAATAAATTTTCATTTCTTCCTCCCTCTCCGACCCTCTCTAACCATCACCCACCACTTATCACCCCCACCAGTCACCCCCAACTCCAGCCACCATGACGGACGAGATCCAACCACCACCTCCTGTTGGAAACCACCTCTAGCCATCTCCGGCATTCAGCCACCACCTCCTGCTAGCAACCACCTCTAGCCCTCTAGCCATCTCCGGCATTCAGCCACCACCTCCTGCTAGCAACCACCTCTAGCCACCCCCTCCCACTTTCAAAACAAATTTTTAGTACAGTCGTGGGCACCAAACAAATTTTTTGTTTTTGTTTTTGTTTTTGTTTTTCCAAAAGAAACAATAAACTGTAACCGTTACCAAATGGCACAGAACAAGTTTGAATCCCAACGTACACAGATTCCCACAATTTTATTTTCTTCTCTCCATAATTTCCTAGAATCTGTTTGAAGCTATGTATAACACACCTTAGATTCTGGAACAAATGCTGCCACATGGGATCCAGGATTCTTTGAAAGCTCTACAGCAGCAACTCCAGGAACCCTAAGCCGATTTATTATTCCTGTAGAAAAATCCCATCCATCAAAAAATTGGATCTCATTTGTTGCCAGACGACATGCAATGGCTTCATCAGAGCTAAATCTTATTGAGGGCCTGAAGGTTACAAAAATCAAATTGAAACATATCACGAATTCAGTTATCAATAAGGAAGAAAATAACTGAATGCACAAGAAGGGATTCAAATTTATATTTTAAAATCAAAATACCAGACATGGTGAATATGCAACTATATCCTATAATCTATGTTACATGAACTCCGGTACGAGTGTCGGGTGCGGGAATGTATCTAAAGGTCGGACTCATCATACCACAAATTTAAGGGTACACGGAGTCAGCAAAAAAATATCATATTTTTATATTTTTAATCAAGTATGTGAGATAAAATGGTGCTTTATGTAACTTACAGTGTCAAAAAGGCATTCCTAGCAATTATACAACAATATGTGCATATAATAATAGTGTTATATGCAATTATATAAGAAGTGTCCGTTGAAAAGTATCTGACACATCTCATACCCTTGTCCGACATGGGTATTTGATTTATTTTGAAGAGTCTACAATCAAATATAAAAACAAGAAATAAAATCAAAGTAAATATATGGCCTTCATTATTAAACATACCATGTGGTTTTCGTCATGTTCTTCTGGAACAGACGGTAAACGGAATCACCAGTCTCTGTCTTCCATAAGATCACATTTTTTTCTTGTGGTGATGAGACTTTCTGAAAGGTCTGAAGGTAAGTCCCACGCGGAGACAAGGTGGCTGCAAGAATGTTGGGGACTTCAAAGGACCTGATCTCTTTGGAGCTTTTGCAATCATGGATGCTAATGATAGAGTCAGATTTTATAACCATTAGTTTAGACCCATCTTCACTGAACTTTGCACTAGTGCAGGGAACTCTTTCAATCTTGATGCTGGGTTGACCATTGTTGTAAGGGGGTCCTGTCCAAAGCGTGAAACCCTCTGGTCCTCTAACTGTGAGAGATGAATCATGAGATCAAGAAAATTAAAGCAGAAGACAAAAGTATTAAACTACTACTAATGTAGTAGTGAAGAAATACCCAAAATCTCCAAAGAAGGTGATGGATCTACAACTGCCATTACAGGCTGGCGGAGGGTCCTCTGCATTCAAAGGGGGGACATCAGTCATCCGCATAATCTACAAAATCTCTAGCACTCAAAAATCATTTAAAGAGTTAGTTTCACTTCTACCCTGAACTATTGCCAAATTATTGATTGAGTCTAATAAGATCCTACAGTATATAAATCAAAGTCTACTTAGTCCCTGAACTATCCGATTGAATCTATTAAACCTTTAAAGTATTTAATTCAAACATATTTATTCCCTAAAAAGATTATAAAAATAAAATATAAGCTTATAAGGATTATAAATTAGTAAAAGACCCTAACTAGTTAAGATTTTATTCTAGAAAAACTTTTAAAATTCTAGTTTGTTTTTAAAAAGTATTTTGTTATGTTTTAATTGGTATCAAAGCCTAATTTCTCAACTTTGCCAATAAAATTATATGAGTATTAGATATATTAACAAAAGTAGAATTAGATCATTTAAATAATAGTACTGCGTTACAAATAATAATACAACAAAATAATACTTTAATCAGGTTATTAAAACAACTTAACAAAAATCTTAAAGATAATCAATTAGAAATTATCAACAAAATCCGACATATAATACTAAATAAGCAGAGAGCAATTATAAAACATAAATAGGGAAATCTAGATAATCACCCTTATAAAAAAAAATTTACCTAAAGAACCTTTCGAGTAAATTCCATTTTCCACCTGAAAAACGTAAACAAAATAAAATTTGAAGATTTTTCTATAATAAAATCTTAACTAGATAGGGTCTTTTACTAATTTATAATACTTAAGAGCTCATATTTTATTTTTGTAATCCTTCCAATAACTAAATATGTTTGAATGAAATACTTTAAGGGCTTAATAGATTCAATTGATAGTTCATAGACAAAGTAGATTTTGATTTATATATTTTAATAGATTCAATTGATAGTTCATAGACAAAGTAGATTTTGATTTATATATTTTAAGAGCTTATTAGACTCAAATGATAGGTCAAGGAGGAAATAGATAATTTGGCAATAGTTGAAGGGTAGAAAGTAAAATTAACCCTCATTTAAATGCTAAGGATGATAAAAAAGATTTATTAAGTTCAAAAGCATGTAATATATACAAAGAGCAGAAGCAGATTGTACCTGGAAAAGTATTTGCCAAATTTGGCATGAAATATTAGAAACTATTCTTGTATTCTTCAGGTTTTCCTATTATTATACTTTAGTGGTATACAAAAATCCCATATCTCAATTTCAAGATAGGTTGATTATGTGTTTTAGTGATGGAGCATCCATTGATTGGATGGAAGTCCATTATTATATTTGGAAGCCTAGGGATTTGCATATAACAATGTAGAGCTGTGTTACCAGAAAATGCAAATACCCTAGCGAATTATGCATTGGTACGCATGTTCCGAAACATGGTACACTTCCGTTTCAAAACGATAAATTTAGTGATCTGAAGTGATCCCAAAAAATTTTTCCATTATGTTTTCTTAAAAGTTACCTTAGGAGGAAAAAAATCAAATATAATGAACTAAAATATAAAGTGAGTTAAGTTTTGACAAGACAATAACATTAAAAATGGAAAAAAAAAAAATTTAAAAATGCATCTTATTAAATGCCTATTAGTTAAAAGAAAATTATTCTAGAAGTACCTTAAACTTTTAAGCGTAATATATACAAGTCTATACCAATTGTACCACATTTTAGAGCATGTGTCCCGTTCCCATTCCACGTACCAAAACAATTCACGTTCCAGGTAACAGATGTAGAGGTGGCAAACTCAACCTGAACCCACAAACACGACAAGTTATACCCATCTAAAACCCGTTTAAACCTACTCAAGTCTGTTAATGGGTTGCTCCTTGCAAACTCAATTTAAATTGAGTTTACATGGGTTGGACATTGGTACACATTTAAATCAATTTAAATCTATGAAGCACGAATACTCCGAAATGGCCCCCGTACGCGTATCGGATACGCGCCCAATACGGCAGGATACGTATCAGATACGGGAAATGAAGTATCCAATTTTTTTTTTTTAATTTTTGAATTTCGGATACGTCTAGGATACGCGAGGATACGGTCAGGATTCGGTATGGATACGGCGGGGCAAAAAAATAATTTAAAAAACTTAAAATGGGGTCAAAGTATAAAATCTGAAAATAAGATAAAATAAAACACAAAAAAAAAATAATAATCAACCAAACTGACCTTGACCTAGGTCGAACAGCAGCCGCGAAGGAGGAGGAGGAGGAGGAGGAGGAGGAGTTCGTCCTTGTCTCTCGTCTCGAACAGTAGCTCGACGATCGTCGATCAGGTTCGCGAACAGGAGCTCCCCGGTCGTCGATCAGGTTCATCCCTCTCTCTCTCCCTTTCGCTCCCTCTGTCTGCCTCTCACTCGATCTCACGAACTCTCTCTCTCCCTCTCTCTCTCGCTCGAACAGATCTCGATCTAGATCTCATCTCCCCCCCTCTTGGTCGATCTCTCTCCCTCTCCCTTATCTATGTCGTCTCTGTTTTGCTTTTGCATATTTATTTTTATTATTATTTTTTTTAATTTTTTGTATGTATACTCTGTAAATAAAATAAAATAAATCAAATAACATATAAAAAAAAAAAAAAAAAACAAAAAGGGAAAAAGAAAGAAAAAAAAAAAACTTTGTAAACTTATAAAATTATAAACTTTGTAAACTTATTAATAAATCAAATAAGGTAAAAAAACTTATTAATAAATAAATAAATAAACTTATTAAAAATAAACTTTGTAAACTTATAAAATTATAAACTTTGTAAACTTATTAATAAATCAAATAAGGTAAAAAAACTTATTAATAAATAAATAAATAAACTTATTAAAAATAAACTTTGTCAACTTATAAAATTATAAACTTTGTCAACTTATTAATAAATCAAATAAGGTAAAAAAAACTTATTAATAAATAAATATTTTATGCATGTTACATTACTAAAAATTGTTGAAGTTTTATTTTTGTGTATGCTGCATTAATAAAAATTGTGAAAAAAATATTTTTAATGAACGTATCTCCGCCGTATTCGTATCCTACTTTTTCGAATTTTGTCGTATCGCCGTATCCGTATCGTGTCGTACCTGTATCCGTGCTTCCTAGATTTAAATAGATACCACCTCTTCCACTACCATTTCCACCCCCACGACGCCACCTCCAGGACTCTCTCTCTTGCTTTATGCATTTTCTCTCTCTAGAAAGAACCACCTAACCAAATCACACCCTTGCTTCTTTTTTTTTTTAACTTTCTCTACGCTGCTTCCATGACTCTCTCTCTCTCTCTCTCTCTCTCTCTCTATACATTTTCTCTCTCTAGAAAGAACCACCTAACCAAATCACACCCTCACTTTTTTCTCTCTCTAGAAAAAAGCACAAAATTACACCCTTTATCATCTAAGTATGAAATATACTTAATCATACTAAAGAACTGTAAAACCAAAAGGTATTATTGGCTTTATGATTTCCAAACAGTTCACAGAAATATATTTTGCCCTACCAACTCCACTTGCCAACCCTTCAAACTAGCTGTTTTTATTTTCTCTCATATCTCTATCCTCTTCCACCTCAAAAACATACATACACAATATATATATGTATATATAACAGTGAATTACATCATTGATCAATCATTTCACCATCACCACCTCCACCACCACCTCCCCACCACCACCATCAACCACCATGGCCACCATGCATCACCATCTATTGGGAAAAAATTAATAAAGTAAATAGGTTGATCGGGTTCAATTGTCCAACCCATATCCAATTCAACCCAACCCATTGAAACCCATTTACTAAATGGGCGGGTTGGGGTTCAATCATTTTAAATGCATAACCTGTTTTGACCCACCCAAACCCACCATCCAAATCTGCCCATTTGCCATCTCTACACAAATGTAATTGGTAGTGAGAGGGTAATTTATATGAAAATTGGGCCGAGCTGGGTAATGGGCCGTTATGGGCCACAGTACGAAGGGCTAAATAAAAAAACCTTAAAATTAGTCCGGTCCTAGAAGGCCTTAATTAGTCCAGTCCCAGAGAGCATATTGTTATCTCGGTCTAGGAGAGCACTGCGGATAGCTCAGTCGCCAGGTTGCCACATTCAAAGTTAGCCCGGTCATAGAATACTGCAGCTAGCTCGATCAGAACCATGCTAATTGTCAACCCGGTCTAATCACGCCATGGTCTGTATAGGAGGAACCGAGGTAAGAGCAGTAAAAGGAAGAACCAGACTAGCTATAGTTCGGTCTACTCTGCGGCTCAGCATAGCTATGCTTATCTCGGTCATATTGGAATCCGACCATGGTAAAACCATCTCACTTGGTTTAAGTAGTGAGGGGGTTGTTGAAGGATAAGCATTATCTTTTAGGAATATAACTCCTAGGAGGACTCTACATGGAGGAGTAAGAGTCCTACTAGGATTGTGCCACGCGAAACCTATAAAAGCTCATAACATCACCTATGGAGAGGTAACACAACTTTGATTCTCGAATGCACAGAGCTTTTTGTCTATTTGTCTATTTGCTGACTTAGGCATCGGAGAGGTATCCGGCACACACCCGCCGGCTAGCTCACGTTTGTGTTTTCAGGGAATAAAGCGACGACGTACGGAGGAGCGCAATCTTGATCAACAGGATTATACGAGAAGGTTTATTTCTTTCCCGTACAATTGGCGCCGTCTGTGGAAAACATCAGACTAGAACAAAACCTCTTGATCAAGCTTTTCCTCTTTGTAAGCAATGGCGCACAACTAAGATTTTCCGCAGTCCGCCATCGACGGACAAACACCAGAGGGGGGTGCGAGGCGCGAAGGCCTACCTTCTATCCCTCCTATGGCGGACTTGGAGCCACAACGACAGAATCCCAGGAGGGATGCACGAGGAAGGAGGCAGACTAACAGCCCCCGTCACTTTCGTTCACAAAGTCCTGACAGACAAAGGCGGAGGATTGATCCTCAAGTTCTGGAGGACCGCGTGAAGGAGCAAGATGAATTGATAAGGAAGATGGCGGCGGACATGGAGGCCATGAAGCGCCAGATCAAGGGAAAAAGGGTGGCGACAGGAGAGGGGCGCAAAGGCAATGCGCCTCCTCGCCACTCAGAAGATCGTAGTAGGCATACCACGATATCGCAAGCAGAGAGTAGAAGCCTCAGGACGAGCGACACTCAATCAAGGACTTCCAGAACTCGTTACTCCAGGTCTGAGAGAACGAGATCACTAAGGTCTTACACAGAGGGAAGTACCTATCGGCTCTCACACACGCACCATACATCATCCAAGCAAACAGAGTTGCCTAGATCGTCCGACTTACGGACTGTGCTTGAAGAAAGGGCACGACAGAAGGAGGATGCTAGGACACGCGATCCACACAGAGTTTCAGCCCTTCAGCGGTTGGCCCCTCAGACGCATGGAAGTGTCGAGGTTAGGATGCCAATACCGCACCTTGCCTACGAACCAACAGATAAAGCGTTGGCAAGACTCCATTGCTCGCCGTTCGTTCCGGCAATTGAGAACACACCATTACCCTCAAGCTTCATCCAGCCTAAATTTACCACGTACAAAGGGAAGACAGACCCTTACATGCACCTAAGCCACTTTCGTCAGGTTATGGCAGTATACCGACGGAACGAAGCTTTAATGTGCATCCTCTTCCCATCAAGTCTTGGTGATCTAGGCTTGAC